TAAGATTCAATCGTAATGAGGTAAAACTTTATTTATCTTGCTTACAATTACAAATTAGTTTCTTTTAAAATAAATAGCCTCTTCTTTAATTTTTCTTATTTTTTTAAACCAATTTTAAAATGTGGTAAATTTTTATAAACAAACAATTTTGTAACCATAAAACCATCAACAACTTTATCTTCTGATGGCCCAGAGATAATTTACTTCCTTTTGAATGAGAAAGTTTTAACAAACCATCTTATCTAAAAGGGAAAGTGCATTTTCTTAAACATTGGACTAATAATTATATTATAACTTTTGTAAACTAACTGGTTAAAAAAAGGAGTAGCTTAAAAATTAAAAACCACTCACTCACAATGGCAAATACGTTTTTCAATAATGTATAGCTACCTTCTATCCTACCTTTCCCCAAACAGTCGCTCCCCAAAAATAACCCCATCAAGTGGCAAGGACTTAGATGGACTCTGGAAGATGGGAGGATGCCAGGACACGAACTGGAATCCGAGGCGGAATGTCAACTAAGTGTTGAGTGTCAAAGACGGATGCCAGGGCGAATTGCTGGCAATCAAATCCGAAATCCGCACAAAGCTCGACAAAAAAGGGGGGAGTAACTGTGTGGCGATAACACCGAATGCTCAAAAACAGAAAAGCACTTAACTCTTAAAGGCGAAATGCTTGTAAAATTTAAGCCCTACTTAATTTGCGATATACTCGTAAACAATTGCCCGCGGCAATCTCATTGTGCCACTTGTCACTGGCCCCGCGCGGTGGATGGTGGTGCTTTGAGTGGTTTGAGTGGTTCACTTCTGCCACAGCCATCACCCGCCCGCGGAAACCCCTTTTCCACAATTTTTACTAATTTTAATAAAGCGCCAGAGACAAAGGCGTCGTCGTCGCCCCCTCATTTTTTTGGGGGTGGGTTGGGTGAACGGCGAAGACGCCTTTGCCGCAACTCGATATCACAAGACAAAGGCTCACATCAAGAGGAAACCACAGGCTACGGCTACACCTACGCCTTAACCCGCCACCGCCCCCGCACCCGCTGCTTAACCCCCAAAAAGTGGGGCGACAAGGGGTTAAGGGACTGAGCACTGGGGCCTGCCACATAGCATTCCGGCTTATTTCTTTCAATTTCGGTTTTTACTCATTTCGCGACGCGGTTTCTCATTATGCAGACAACGCAGCTTGGGAAATGCCGCTAAAGATGTGAGTGGAAAACGCTGGGAAAATGTCAGGGAAAAATTATAGCACCTATGATAAATATTTGAATCAATAGATCCACAGATAAAAAGGCATTAATTATGTTTCATTCGAAGTTCAAAAAATATACGAATATAATACATTTTTTATTTTAAAAGCTTAAAAATAAGTTTTTAAATAGTAACACTATTAACAGATCGCTATATAGGGCTATGTATTATTATTTATTAATAAAGATCTAAAGTGTTAATGGGAGGCACTTACTCTATGTTATTTTTAAATGACAGTATTTAAAATATTTTTAACGTTTATATATTCCTAGATCATCCATAAAACCTATTTTTCTTTGGCACAATTACAATCTTTTGAACAGAAAAGATAAAGAGTTTTTAATTTAAGATTTTTCTGCTTTTGGCGAGTAATAAATAAACTATTGAAACATTTTCTGACGGCTCCAATAATATATAAGTCCGGATTGGACACGAGTTTTCCATCAGCGATCTGAGTTTTAGCAAGGCCACCACTAGCCCCAAATGAATTTTTCGTGTTCGGCGGTGGAAAGCTGGAAAATTCGGGGATATTGGATAAGGGGGGGAGGGGGTGTCAAGGGTACGGGAAATGTCTTTCTCTTGGAGGAAACCGCGAGTCCTCGCATCAGCGGCACATTTGTGTGCAGTGCTGCTGCCACAGCCGCTGGGAATTTAACCCTTTACTCCCCAGAAAAAAACCCCTCACCCCGCACATAACCCCTTTTTCAACCCCCTCCCCCGCGTTTTTGTGTGTGTGTGTGTGCCATCCAGTGGATTACTCAATTAATTTAATTATGCGCTGTCAATCATTTCGTTGCCTTGGCCCAGGAACTTACTTACTTTCTCAGTGGCTGTCTGCCTACCGGTGCCACGCCCACTCCTAGACGCCTCCCCCTCCCCCTCCCCCCTCCCCACCTACCCCCTTAGACGCCCATCGGTCTGGGCAAGAAGTGACTTATTTTCTTGTTGCCACTTAATTTTTGTTGTCCTTAGATTTGAACCAACGTCTGTGGCCGCTCAGCCGCAGCCTTTCGCCCAAGTCCCACCCCCTTTCATTTTTAACCCTCAACCCCCCTCCCAGTATATATATTTTTTACCCTTTGCCTGTGGCATATTTCTAAGAAGACAGAACACTGGAAATCATTAAGATATTTCAAGGAAATAGGGTCCCCCAAATCGAAACCCAAAAACCCATATGATTTGTAGTAATAAATGGTTTTATTCAAGGTCAACAAATTGGTACATCAGTTGAAACGTTCCATTGAACTTTAATCTCTTTGTGATCAATTTTTATATAATTAAAATATATGTATTCAGAGAATTAAAAAATAAATAAACATTTTTAACCAGCAAAATAGGCGTTTTGGTTTCTTTTTTTCCCCAAAAAACTTGTATGAGTTTCTTAGGGACAAAGCCGATAAATGAAAACTAAAAACCTGCATAGAAACAGGATAATCTTTTGATATAATTAATAAAGTTTACTAAAAATTAATTTCAATATAAAATAAAAACATGTGAATATGAGAAATGGTTGCCGTTAAAATAATATATATTCTTTTTGGTCAGTGTAACACTGAGGCACGCAAATTTTGACTGATGCCAAAGGGGTAAGGGCGCCCCCGCCCTTTTAGCAACCCCCTCTCCAGTTGGGCCACCCCCGCCCCTGCGATAACCGCGACCGCTTGGAAATAAGAGAAATCATTTGCGTTTTTGCGTTTACGTAAGACACGGGCTCCGAACTGCTAATCCCCCGGAACCCCAGTTCCCTCGCAAGTACATGGAGTATGGAGCCCGTCCTTCCTGATCCCGAACTGCAGATTCCCATCGGCTTGGTGTTCTCTTCCTTGTCATGTTGACTTTTCCATTTGCCTTGGCAATTTCTGGCACTGGTTTTTCCTCTTTTCCGCTTCTTCACCGGGTTTTCTTTTCCGTTTTCTTATTTTAATTTTTTGCTTTCTTTGAACCTGACGTCTTCTGGCGTTTTCTCCGAATATCCTGCGTGTATCCTGCGGGCTTTGTTTGCGCCTGTATTTGTTTAAGCTGCACATGCCTGCGTGTGTGTGCGTGGTGTTTGCTTACATGTGTAAATTACTTTTCAATCTTGTGATTACTTTTTTCCACATTTAATTATTTTAATTACGGCCCAGTGCACACAAGCAGCTTCCGCAGCTCATCCTTCTTCGCCCCCGGAAACCCTTCTCCCAGAAACTGCTTCAAAGAACCCGTATGCCCATCCTTTTCACCTTACTCAACTTGAGACTCTCCAAATGAAATGTGCCTAAGTTAAAAGCCCAAACTACGAGTAGTTTTGAAGTATTCCAGATTTCGAGGTTGTGTATCATTATCCATTGAACTGTATCAGTTTTGTATCTTGGTGTATCCTGCCAAGGACTTTCATAACCATCATTAGTCTTAAAAACTTAAAAACAAAAACTTAAAAAATCTCTGTAAGCATTTGAACATGAAAGCAAAACATATTGTACTTACATTATTAGAAAATAAACCAATCAAACTATGCAAAGTTAAAGATATGAAGCATTAAATTATACATTTAAATTTAAATAGAATTTTCGAATTTAAGTTTTTAAGTAAGTTATCATGATTGCTTCGTTTTTATCGAAAGGATTACTTGAACCCTGAATAATTAATTTCTCTGATAAATTTGACAAAACAATTGTACGAAATGTTGTTCTTTATTTATTTTTTTTTTATTTTCTTTTATTAAGAATGCAAAGTTTATCAAATTGTTTTTTTATAGTTTTTGTTGTTTGTTATTGAAAAATACAATGAATTGTTTCGTTGTTGTGATCATAACGCCACCAATCGTTTCAACTTCTAACAAATAAACCACCTTTTGATTTTACAGATTTTAAATAACACAAATATAAATGATCATACAAAATCAAATACTTCAAAAATAAAACGTAGCTTTAATGTTTTGTAAAGCCCACACACTCTTCAAAGAAATCACCTATTAATAAGTCCCAGTCGTCGACTTTGGCGTATCTTAATCACTGAACTGCAGAAAAAAACACACACAAAAAGCACACATGTGGATTCCGACTTGCAGTGATGATTGATGACGCCGACTTGCAGCGATGATGGAGGTGATTCCCGATTCTCGTTTTCGATTCGATCGGCGAGTGCATTTGGCCTGAATCACCAGCCGGAAAATGCGTCAGTTGGCCAATCGAAGTGCCCGATCGGGAACAGCTCTGGATCTCAATCTGGTCGAGGTCTGCACCTGCATCTGGATCCGAATCTGGCGCGATCTTCGATGGACGACGGACCGCTGGCCACGGAGGAAATCCCTGCACTTGAGTCGTCGACGGGATAAAGTCATTTGTGGGCTGTGCTGCCGGCGTCGCTGCTCCGAGTAAATATCGTCCGAAAAAGCCGCCCTCTGCTTCGCAGGACTCGGGTTTTTTCGGAAAAGGGGTGGCGCGGGGCGGCGACCTTCAGTGCGCCGACTCGCCAAACTGTTATACTGTGATACCCACTGGGGGTGAGAAGGCATTTCAGTTCGTTCGGCTTTCACTCCGAAAAACGGCGCGACTGCGACGTCGACTGCAATTTTGCAGTGCGTTCGAAAGTTCGACAACTTTGGAAAACTGTCAGTTGGCAGCGAACTTAGAACAGGTAGAGACGCACACGTTCCGCCTGGAAAATCGGTACGAAAACGGAACAGGCTAGAACGGAACACTCTGTCCCCCACCCCCCCGACAACCCCGCCAACCCTCAGCTCCATCGATAGGAAAACCCGAGCGAAGGTTTTCCCTCGTGTTATTTTTTTTTTTGGGGGGTTCGGAAAACGTGCGTCGACGTCGACAGCGACTGAAAAACGGCGACTGAAAACGGCGACGATGTAAAATTTTATTACCCCAAACGCATCGAGCAGTCGGGTTTTGGACGTCCGGACTTCACCGCCGCCTCGCTGCGACGACAGACTTTTATTGCAGCGACTGCCATATAGAGTGGGTACAGATTCCATGGTCAGGCCCGGAGATCCCAAAAACTTTCTGAAGACGGACACAAACTTTTTCCAGAGCGCGGCATAAAAGTGCAAAAGTTTTTGTTCGGCAGCGCCACAAACTAAAAGAAACTTCGCCGCCACCGCCGCCGCCGCCGCGAAACCCCCCCACTTTAAAAAACAAAAAGCCAAAAACAAAATACTAAATACAAAATACAATAAAAAGAATAACCAGTGCAATGCAATGCAAACAAAAAAAGAGAAACCCAAGAGTATAATAAACAAATACTAAAAAGTGCGTGGTCTAATTGATATCAAGTATACGCCTCGTAAGCCGGCTTAAGTTTACCAAAACTCTAAACATTCATTCGTAAATATCACCGCCGTCGTCGTCGCGTTGACAAAAAGTGAGTTGCAGAGTTTGTTTGTTTTTTGTTACTGCTTACCCAGTTTTAGTTTGGCTTATTTTTTTGTGTTGGTGATGATATACATCCTATATAAATCGGAGTGTTTGTGTGGAATAACAAATCGCAACATCAGCATAATCAGCAAGCAGCCACAGCATTATCATCAAAATAAACAAAAAAAGGCCGCATAAGAATGGCAAACAAATAAAGTGCAGAGTGTTTAAATACAAACAAATTGAAAACGAAATCGAAATCGAAATCGCTAAGACAACCAAATCGAAAACAAAATCGAAACAGAAACAGAAACAGAATTCACCAAATAGGTAAAGTTCACATATAAGTATTTGACTCTTGTAATATGCCCACTAGATCTTGCAATTATTTGTATCGAACTGAATACTGACAGTCTATATATATATATATGCATATATATATATATTGTATATACTATATACCATGCTGATCCTAACCCAGACCCGCCCCCTGCCCCTGTGAAGGCAAAAATTTGAAAATATATACAAAAATATATAGATTTATAGCGAAAACCAACAAGAACGAGAGAAACAAACAAATGAGTAAAAACAAACAGGAAACAAAAACAATAGAATACAAGTAAAAGAAATTCAATGCAACAAGAATAATCACATTGAGAATTTGACAAACAAAATTGAAAATTAAGCTAACGCAAATCGAGAATCGATAATCATCCCACGCATTTAGATCTAATTGCCAAACGTATCCAATGGATCGTTTGCAAAGTGGGGCAAAACTCGTATCTATCCTGACTGATGATTATATTTTTTCCCATTTATATAGCAGTTTTTAGCCCATGGAAGTTTTGCAGCGAGAATTGTTAAGGTTTTTTTAATATTATTTTAAGTATTATTTTCTTAAGAAAAAAAAACGGTATTCATTTATAAATTTCCTAGATTAAAGCTTAAACTAACAATAAAAATACTTTTATAAGCTAAGGTGTCACAAAACTGTCGTATTTATTGTCATTTAACAACTTTATTTATTGTTTATGGAACCATTAAACTGAGCAAACAAAACAGAACGTAACAAATTTTTCACCATTGTGGAGAGCAACAAACTTTATGACAACAATCCATTAACCCTACGGCACACAAATAATACATTTATTTTTTGTTAACTCTTTATTAGATTATAATTTTGTAAAAAACAAGATTAAATGGGGCTAATAATCGATGTGTTTTCCTAGGATATTCTTTTCATTTAACTGTGTTTTTCTAAGATTATCAGGTGTTATGTAGTTTACGACAATTCATTATTACTATTGGCTAGCTGCGAAGCAGAAAATGGTTAAATGGTCACACGGTATTGGTTTCGATTTGGTCAAGTCTCAAAAAACAGTTTGTTCAAATAATTGTCTGCCAAAAAACGTTTTGTTTATGTATATGTAGTGTTTGGTTTCAAAAGACAAACTTGCGATGATAATATAATTATTATTAGGTAGCTGGGTTTGGTTTCGATTTTGTTTAGTCTGCTGGGCAAACATTTCGCCATAAGCGACCGCGATTGGATTTCGGCTGCTTCGGCTGCTTCGGCTGCTGCACACTGATAATGACGATGTTGCAAAGGTGGCATAACCACGCAGTTGCCACACAAACAACCAAGCAGGTCCTGCTTTTGCCCTCAAAACACTTACATTTCGTTTCGACTTCTCACCTGATCAGCGGAGCTGAAAAGCCGTAAAGTCGGAAAAGCCACCGGGAAGATGGCGCTGTCCAAGCGTCCCCTCACCAAGGACACGCCCTTGTCCGAGAATAATGGGAACCACACGGGCAACGGCAACGGTAATGGTGACCACGAGACCTCCATCAAGCGGCGCAAGCGTTGCAGTCGCGACGAGGACTCCACTCTGAGCTCCAACAACAACAACAATAATAACAATAACAATACGAACAACAATAACAATAGCAATAGTAACAACAACAACTTGCCGCAGAAGAAACGCAAACAGGGACACATTGCCGATAGTCCGGAGAGTCCCACCTGCGGTTCCCTCCTGCTGCCCACACCCACACCCACTCCCACGGCCACTCCCACAGCCACGCCCACATCCGCCGGCAAAGGCAACACGGATGCGGATCAGGACGATGAGGCACTCATCCGCGAGACACAGGCCGCCCTGAAGAGCCTCTCGGGCAGCTGGCCCTCCGATTCGCGCGGCAATCTCTATCGGCTGCAGGAACAGGACGAAAACCCACCGCCCTTCCAGAATCTGTTCGAGGAGAAGCAAAAGTATGTGGCCATCGGCCATGCCATCGACAGCAGCTCAACCAATCCCACAAATCCCACGCTCTTCTCACGTTTCCACAGACAAAAGGAGAACGACCAGGCGCGTCTGAATGCCAGTGGCAATGTCCACAATGTCCACAATGTCCATAGTGTCCACTTGGAGCGCGGCAAGAAGTCGCCCGATCGGTTGGAGGATCACGAACTAGAGGACACCTCGTCCTCCGCCTCAGGACAAGGGGTGTATGCCCAAGCGGCCTCGGCCTTCAAGCCGCCCATCGATATCATCAAACGAAATTATGTGGCCGCCGCCCATGCCCATTATAGTGCCTATAATGCGGCCGCTGCAGCGGAATCGGCCGCCGGATTGGCCTATTACGGCTATGCTGCCGCTGCTGTCGCCAGTCAGCAGCAACACCAGCAGCAGCAACAGCAACAGCAACAGCAACAGCAACAACAACAGCAGCAACAACTCAGTACCGCCTTCGATATTGCCAGCCAGTTGGGCGAAAAGCAACAGCAACGGCCCAAGGAACCGATGGCCGATGGCAAACAGTATACGATCCTCCAGCCGGCGGGCATTGGCAGTCGGGCTGCGTCCGTGATGCAGGACATTGCGTCGCGCGAGGGCGTTGTCGGGGTGCCCCTGGTGGCCACGCCCCCATCGACGGCGGCCAACAGTCCGGCGGCGGCAGCTGGATCCTCGTCGACTCCTTCGACACCGGCGCCCAGTTACTCGCCGGGCAGCCAGAATCGCGGTAAGTGGTCCCAAATAGTAACGAGAGTGAATTTCCCAAGTTGATTGTGATGGTGATGAGTTGGTGGGCTTCGCTGTGACTCTGCTGTGATGCGCTGGAAAAACCGCGACCCCTGGTGAAACTGTACTGCGGTTTTGGCAACACATGTGCGGTGATTTTACTAAAAATAAACTTATAACTTATATCAGGCTAAAACATTGCTGTAACAGAACTACATTTTGGTGAGAACAATATGAAAAATAGTATTTTAATTCGATGTAAATCGCACTTTGAACAGTGTTATAAAATGTACTGTGATTAGATACGAACAGTGATGTACTAAAAAAATATTAAGATTCGCTGAAATCTCCACTGTCACTTCTAAAAGTGCTAAGAGCAACGAACAGTGCTGTAAATAGTTATTTCACTCGCTTTCGACAGTTTAGTGTTGTGCACCATTATTTACTACAAATAGTTCTGTAAAAAACAATACAATCCGTTGTAAACAGTATTGTAAGTCGTTGTGAATAGTTATACAAATCTTTTTATTTGATCCATTAAGAATAGGTCTATAAACATTAACATAATTCGATTTAAATAATACCATAAACAGTTCTGTAAACAGCAATGTAAGCAGGGTTTATCACTTTTATCACTTGTGCGCCAATCAATAAATGCAGTACAGTTAAGTACAGTGCAGTGCAGTGTTAAGCAGTTAATTCACCTGCGATTCGATGTGGTTCGGTTGGGTTTCCGTTTTCGGTTCGACTGATCGATCGGCTGATGTGCGAGACTTCTTGTTGCATTGAGTTTACCGCTTCAATTGGCAAAATCAGAACAAAGTCCCTTGTCCCTAACGACCCAACCTCTCCCCTCCACCCAAAAACCAACCCATTAATTCCCTTTAGAGAGACAGAGACAGAGAGAGAGAGAGTGAGAGAGTGTGTGTGAATGAGTCTTATGGTGTATGGATGATCATCGCCCCCCTCCCCCTCACAAAAAGAAAACGAGAGAGAGACACTCAATTTATGACGATTATTATAACGCTGGCTTTTGTTGTTATTATTATTTGCACAGCCCCTTGCTCCGTAACCCCACATATCTAAAAATAAAACCCTTTTTGCAGCTCATTCAGCAGCCAAAAAGACATTAAGCGATTTTGTCGTTATGAAAATGGGATCGGTAAGGGACGGGGGGTTGGGGGTCTTGTATTTTTGGTTGGGGTCGGGGTCTCGAGCGCACAACAACTAATGGCTTGTAAACCCTTTATGCCACACAAAACTGAGGCACACGGACAGACATCTTTTGGTTGAGTGCCTGAGCCTTGAGCTTTGCCTTCTACTAATTTCGCTGTACAATTTCCACAATTTTCACAGACGACGATGTGTAAGTGGGTGTGGCATGATTAGATATAAAGCATTATGAGCACGTTTTCCTTCAAAAACCACTTTTGCATATTTATTTTGTCATTATGTTTTGGCATTAATATGCTCAGCCAGGAGCTCTTGCGTGTGTATGTCTTTGGTATTCATATAATTTGAATGACTTTTTAAATAGTTGACGGAAGGAAGAATGAAGCAGACTCTTAGACTCTAAAACTCGCTGCGTATACGTAATAAGTCATTAGCGTGCGGCAAGCCATATTGTTATTGTTTTAGCCTCTTTGCTAATGTGGCTTATTAGGCTTAACCCTTCAGTGTGTGTATGTTTGCTCCACACAGACTCCTCTCAATCTTTAGTTTCCCCTATGTACTACCTTATTTTTTGTGTTGTCTTTTTGGCTGATGCCGCCACCACATACACTCGGAAAATTCTAATGCACAAACACTTTAGAACCCCCAAACCCCGTTGGCTTTATTTTAATTAAATTCTAATTAGAGACGAGTCGGTCCTTTTACTTTTACCTTTACTCGGGCTCTCCTCCGGCTGCTGCAGTTTGACATTTTGCCCGGCCACGTAATAGACAAAAACAGGAGTAAAATATTTCGAAAAATATTTCATTAACCAACCCCCCTGCGTCTGTGCCCATATCACGCACATCATACATCACGAACATATCATGGGCCCTGGCATTTTATCTTCGAGGAGTTGCGCTTAGAAAGCGGCCAAGTTTTTTGGGTCTGGTCTGGTATGGTATGGTATGGAGTGGTATGGTTTGGTTTGATTTTTGAAGCTGTCTCGAAAACCCCTTCCCCAGTTTCCCCTTCGGCTGACTGTCATGTGTGTGTGTTGTGTTTGTTGTGTGTATGTGCGTGGGCTTTTTAAAGTAAATAATGCAAAGCTGTTTTCCATCAAATTTTAATTAATTATTTAGGGTAAAAGAATTCGTGTTGCCTGCTGTTGCTGCTACTGCTGTTTTTTAAGGTTTTTCCATGGGGTAGGGGGGGTTCTACGTTCTACGTTCACCGTTCTACCTTCTACGTCAACTTGTCTCTCGCTGTCGCCTGCCATGTAATTAATTAGAAAATATTCACCCAGCCACGCACTCATTCCTCCTGCCTTATTTGCTCGCTCTTCGTTGAATCTAAGTTTTTCTGTTAATTGGTTAATTGTAGATGGCGCCAAATGCCCCACGCCGCATTGTACGGGCCAAGGACATATCACCGGATTGTATTCGCACCATCGCAGGTACCCATCGTCCATATAGATCCCCTGCGAGTCTCGTCCTTTTCTCACACAACAAAACAATCTTATCTCTCCATATATTTTTCGATCTGCCATTGACAGTTTGTCGGGTTGTCCGAAGCGCGATAAAGTCACCACAGAATGTAAGTTTCCCAAGAATACAATTTCGCATGCTTGTGTATGCCCTAGTAGTCGCTCTATCTCTGTCTGTCACTATTTCTCGACTCTCAGTCTCTCTCTCTTTCTATCTTCGATTCTCTAACTCTTTCTAACTGTCAATCTGCCTCCTGTTCTTTCTCCTTGTCTCTGTCTCTGTCTTTGTTTCTCCTAGCAATGCCTTGAGTGTGAATGTTCGATGTGACTGTGAGGTCTTTCCACTTTTCTATTAGAATCTCTAAAACATATTTCCATAAAAGCTAATTCTAATAAAATTGTAGAACTGTTTTTAAGTTTTAATGTTTTTTTCCTTAAAGTCGCGTACAGAAAGAATCTTAAATCATTATATTATATAAAAGCGTATATTTTGCGTTTTAAAAACTTATCTTCCTTTTTTTTATTTTTTCACAACCTTTCAGAATATATAATTCATAAAATATTATATTTTAAGAATCTGTAATGCTCTATATTTTTTCCATAATTTGTTGATATTGTTTTGTTTATTAATATCCTTTGTATTGGTGTGTTTAGTTTCATTTTAAAATCTCAATTATAATTTATAAGATTATGTATGATATAAATCGTGAATGTATTATTTGATAAGAAATGGTAGAGCCCACAGTAGTGTCTGTTAAAAAAAAACTGATTATATTTTCTTCTTGACCTCTTTCTAACTGTCTCCTTTGCATGATCTTAGAGAGATCAAGAAGGATCACCACAGTGATAGAGTCTTTCTTCTGTTGTAAAACTGCATGTAGTTTGCCAATAGCTATCCATTTGATTTGGGTTGGTTGTACGAGATCTTCCACTGAGTGGGAAGTGTTTGTGGCTTGACCTGATAGAGGATCGCTGTCTCTTCTCTGTACCGTTTCCTCTGTCTCTCTCTACTTCTCCGTTTCTCTGTTTCTCTGTCCCTGTCTGTGGAATGCCTTGTTGTTGTAGTCGTGCCATTACCGCTGATCTCCGCTGTGAGTCTGTGAATCTGTGAACCTGTGAAATTGACAATTCCTATGCACTTGCAGTGCTGGCTCTGCACGAGCAGATCCTGAAATGCCCCACGCCCGGGTGCAATGGTCGTGGGCACGTGCAGCCGCATCGCAGCGTGCACCGCAGCCTCTCCGGCTGTCCGCGGGCCGTAAAGCGCTCCGGCGGAGCATCCGGCCGCCGTCCGGGAGCAGCACTACTAGCACCACTAGCACCACCAGCAGCAACAGCAGGTGAACCACACTCTAGCCCCTCAAGCCCAGCCGACTCTGTGTGTGAACGATATATACGAATATACGATTAAAACGAACCCCTTCCGAAACTCACTTTCACCTTTCACCGCCCGATCTTTGTTCTATCGCTCCATGTCTTGCTCTGCTTTTTCTCGCACCCTCTAGCCGGCGATCTGGAGAAGCACGAGAAGGAGCTGCATCCGCTGGACAAACTGAAGCTGGCCTCCAATCACTATCTCAACAACAACAACAGCAGCTGCGTTAACAACAACAACAGCACGACGAATCTTGGTGGCAGCACGGCGACGACAACGACGATGCCGATTATCAAATCGGAGTACAGTCCCGTAGCCAGCATCAAATCGGAGTATAATAAGAGCCCCATGCACTCGTATCTGTCGGGCGAAGCGGCCGCGCCCGCCCCCGCCGCCCCCTCATCGGCGAGCGCCGCCCAAGCGCCGCGTTCCGGATCCACGAGCGGTACAGGATCGACCTCGAACGGAGGTGAGAACAACCTGCACGCCCCCCACTTGAGTCGCTTCGTTGGGCTGCAGAGTCCGCCGCACCAGCCACATCTCAATCCCCACGGACACCACCAGCAGCAGCAGCAGCAACAGCAACAGCAGCAACAACAGCAGCAGCAGCAACAACAGCAGCAACAACAGCAACACACGCTGCACCAGCAGAGAGGACCCTTCATAGAGGGTAATGATGTACCCGATCCCTCGGCCACTTATCACTCGGAACACCAGCAGCAGCAGCAACAGCAACAGCAGCAACAGCAGCAGCAGCAACAGGCCGACGAGCGACAGCAGCAATATGAGCAGATGCGCTATGCCCAAAGTCATGTGAGCGTTGGTCCCAGTGGGGAGTTGATGGCGCCCAACGGTGGGGAATTGTCACCGGGAACGGCGAGAAGCGCCTATGAAGCGCATCCCGGACATCCGCATCCGCATCCCGGCCATCCCGGGCATCCGCATCCGCATCCGCCCGTCTCGCTGAGCTCCCTCAGCTCGCCAGCGTTCACAGTGGATGCGGTGAGCGCAGCAGCGGCCAGCGGAGCGGGCTTCGAGCGGTACGACCCCAGCAGCGTCTGCTGTCCCAGCAACGGGGGTCAAAGGGCATCGGCGGCCACAGCGGCGACGGCGGCCACAGCAGCGGCCGCCTACCACTATCTGCCGCAAACCACCGACGAGATGCAGGCCCAGCAGCAGAAGTATCTGCAGGAGCAGCAGCTAATGTTGGCCAAGGCGGAGCACGAGGAGCTGGCCAACGGGGGTCAGCCCCTGTATCCGCGGCCCATGTACCACTACGATCCCACCATGGGACCTCTGCCGCCGGGCTTCTCGGCCATCAATCTGTCGGTGAAGATGGCCGCCGCCCAGGCAGCCGCTGCTGCCGCCGCCTACCAGAACCAGCAGCAACAGCAACAGCAGCAGCAGCAACAGCAGCAGCAACACCACCAGCAGCAACAGCAACAGCAGCAGCAGCAACAGCAGCAGCAGCACGGCAAACAGAGCAGCTCACCCGCCCCAAATGTGGGCGGTGGTGGTGTGCCGGCGGTGGATCTCAGTGGCTCCACCTCGGTGACGAGCAGCAGTCCGCACGGTTTCAATTCGCCAGCCTCGCACAACCAGTACACCGCCCAGCGGATGGGCAACGGCAGTCCACAGCCAGGAGCCAGTCCCAACATAGCCAGTCCCCAGGTGCCGAGTCCCCAGGGTCAAACGTTGGACCTCAGCGTCACCCGCTTACCCCACAGGTTAGTAGTTGGCACTCTGGAATACATCCCAGCCAGACCCGCATCCATCTCCCTGCACTTGTGCAACACAATTCATTAAGCATTTATAATACCCCTCACCTTTGACCTCTCCATCCGCAGCATTATCACGAGTCCACAGTACGGCGCCGATGGCCTGGTGGTGGGTCATGCCCAGGGATTCGTGAGTGGGGCGACAGGACCTCTGGGTCCCGGCAATGGCGGACCGCCGCGATCGCCGCAAATGGAACCAGTGGACTTCAGCGGACCCCCGCGACCCCTGGGCTTTGGTCTGGTGGGCCACATCAGCGGTCCGCGACCTTACAGCCGCGAATCCACGCCGGACAGCGGCGGCTCTCACTATATCGAAACGTATCGGGATCCCAGTGGTAAGTTAACGTATACTTATTATCGGCGGTGTCGCACGGTTCTCTATAAAAGGAACTTCTAAAAACGAAACTATTTTAAAAACAAGAGAGAACGCTATAGTCGGGTGCCCCGACCATCAGATACCCGTTACTCAGGTAAAGGGAGTGCGAGGGAGATGGAGATAGAAACTTTGATCACGCATAACTTTTTAACGAATGGTCCGATTTGAAAAATTTCTTCTACATTTCGATAGGTATTGATAAACACAATAAAACTGCATTTTTACTTTTCCGAAATATTTAAATTTTTAAAATATAAGCGATTGTGGGCGTCAGAGGGGGCGTGGCACCATTTTGAAACAAACTTGCGCTGCGTAGGAACTGCTCAAATCTACATGCAAAATGCCAATATTCTAGCTTTTATAGTTTCCGAGATCTCAGCGTTCATACGGACAGACAGACAGACAGACAGACGGACAGACAGACGGACAGACGGACAGACGGACATGGCTATATCGACTCGGCTAGTGACCCTGATCAAGAATATATATACTTTATAGGGTCGGAAACGCTTCCTTCTAGCTGTTACATACTTTTGCACGAATACAATATACCCTTTTACTCTACGAGTAACGGGTATAATAAATATATATCAATTAATACTGTATTTCCGCATGTGAATATGAAATTGCAATATCACCACAAAAGTAGCTCAATTTGGAACCCTCTATCCATTGTCCTTGCAGGCTACTCCCCGCACCCCGGTTACGGGATGGTGGTGCAGTCGGACTATCCGCCAGCCGGATACCACGGCTACGGCCCGGCGGCGTACCAGTGCAGCAATCCGTACGCCACGGCCGTCGGCCCCGGTGGCTATCCCACGCCCGTCTCCGGCGGATACTCGCCCAGTCCGGCCACCTGCTACTCGATGCCACCGCCGCAGCACATCCCGCAGCACGACAAGTCCAAGGACGGGTAAGTCCCCTTCCCATTAGTATATACACTCCAGGACAGTCTGTTTGCCCGATGTGGTTAATGATTCATATAATAATTGGCCAAACACTGTCCATCCATCTATGTTGCGGACTATCAGCAATCCATCTCTGTCACAAGAAAAGTGTTTCAGCAACACCTGGAGCACACAGCAAACTTATAGTAGTTCGAACCCTAAACAGAATATATGTATAATATAAAGTAATGTGAAAAATATGAATTTTAAAACTTAAAAACTGAACAAAGTGGTCACAAATTAGGTAGAAAGTTTTGTAATAAGGAAGGTGAAATAGAATTGCAACCTAAAGCTTAAAATATTTCATAGTTGCCGGAACAATAAGGATGGCTTCTTTAAAATTGCTCGACTTTGTGAGTTCGCAATGATAGTTGCCAGCATAAATGCTGTAGTTGGCCTGAGCTTTGAGTCCTTGGTAAAGTCCTGTGCGGACACTAAAGCCCAGGGTCGAGAGACTTTAATATTTATGATTACGACTGAAAGTGGCCGCAGAGCGGTCGTAAAAAATCTTCATCCCCACTCAGACACCCCGTGATTAAATGGGACTTTAAAACCGAAAGTTTCAAGTCGAGAGTCTTAGCCGCACGAACAGACACAGACATATGGAGCTCTTCTCTTATCTGGCCACGACCACTTGGCCTGATTTGGGATTTGGGATTTGGGCTTGGGTCACTCACTAATCCGACTGCCATCCCCTGCTCTTTTTCGATTCCAGATTGACGGGCTGCTCGCGCTCGGACCGCAACCATCTGCAATCGCACTCGCAGGAGCTAAAGTGCCCCACGCCCGGATGCGATGGCTCCGGACACGTGACCGGGAACTACTCGTCCCATCGCAGCCTCTCCGGCTGTCCCAGGGCCAACAAGCCCAAGAGCAAGCCGCGCGATGGCCAGGACTCGGAGCCCCTGCGGTGTCCCATCCCTGGATGCGATGGTTCCGGCCACTCCACCGGCAAGTTCCTCTCCCACAGAAGGTGAGTCCCCAGGACCTAGTTGTTTGCTGGACTATATCTAAAGGTGGCATTCCCATTGTTCCTCCTTCAGCGCCTCGGGCTGCCCGATCGCCAATCGCAACAAGATGCGAGTTCTGGAGGCCGGCGGCACTGTGGAGCAACACAAGGCCGCAGTGGCAGCTGCCACCGCCATGAAGTTCGATGGTGAGTAAAGATTTCTACAAATATATTTATACTTCCCAATGCTCAACTAACTTAAATTCACTTGGTATAAAGTTTAAGCCTAATCTAACCAAATTATCTCATCGAACCTTTTAACCAGAACCAGTTTATCCCTAAAAGATAAAGCAAATTAACCATCAATTTCACCTCTTTTTTCCCTTTTTTACACATTTCTAAAGCCTGCACCACGGTGGGCAGCCAGGGCATCAAGAAGCCAAAGTTCGATGAGGTCACCATGGTCTATCCCAAGGGTTATACAGGTGAGTGACCCCGATCGCAGACGCTTCATCTCGCTCTCCTTCTCACGCTGTCTCTCTCTTGCGTGTTTTTTCTGTTATGAACTGGGCCCAGGGCTAATATACCATATCCCTCCTAGATCGAAAAGGGGGTTGGGTTATAATGGCCTTGTCATGAAGTTAGCAACACACAAAGAAGAACAATACCTAATTTATAATTTCCTTTAAAAAAAAACGTATTTTAAAAAACATATTATTCTTCTCTGTTGTTGCTCGCTTTTGTCTTGAACATTTTCGGTTGGAATTTTGTGTGCGTGTGCTAAAGTCAAACGAAAAATAGAAAGCATCAAAAGAAATGAAAAACAAAAAAAAACATATATTTAACAAGAAGAAACTTTATTTTTGGTTTTGGTTTCGGAAAATGCAACACAAAAAGAATTTCAAAAACAAATCAAGCAAATTTTCGTTAAGTTTCGAAATCCTTCGAAAAGTCCCACAACCTCCGACAACACCAACTCCCCCCGAAAACCAACCACTCACTCGAAATGTCCTCTGAAAATCCTCCCGATAAACCCGGTACATAACAAGAACCCGTTAATAATATTAAAAGGCCCACACACACCCACAAATGCGAATGTGTATGTGTGTGTGTGTGTGTGTATGCTACGAACAAGAGAAAAAAGCAAAAGCAAAAGCAACAAAGAAGCTGATCAAAAGAGAAAGAAACAATTAAATTCCTAGTTTTAATTCTAATTTAATTCTGTGTTTCTTCTTTTCGTTTCGTTTCATGTCGTTTTTGTTGACGTTTTCTTTTAGATTACGCAACGTTTTGTATCGGTGCCGAGTATCTACTGTAAATAGAAAACGAAACCACTGAATCTCGCAGTCAAAACAGTCCGAATCGAAACTGAAAATGAAACTGAAACCACAACCAGCAACCAAAAATAAATGCAATGAAAATCCAAATGCAGCTGAAAAAAAAAATAAAACAAATCAAAGCAAATACAGTACAGAATCCCTAAAATAAAAAAATAACCAATTATATGTGTCTGTATACAAAACCGAAAGACAGCAATGCGAACAGACCACAAATTGTCATACCTACAACTCACACAAATCAGAGAATCCAAAAATACAAAAAAAATGTACATACAAAAATTGCCAGGGAGTCTGTCGATTGTCGATCAAGGTAAGCCCGAAGATAAGATGATTAAAACCCACTAAACCACCAACTAACACCACTCATTCACACACACAGACAGCAATCCAATGCACACAAACAAGTCACTTGTCCTTAGATCTACCACACTTCATCTAATGTGTACTCATTTTTTCTAACCATTGAATTTGAAAGTTCTCTATAAACTGTGATTCAATCAACTAATGTGATTGCACCACAGTGTGTCTTCTCTATAAGTAAATTATAAAAATAAATGGAGTCACAGTTTTGAAATCTTCATAAAGGTGTCAAAAAATAGGCCAGAAATGATTTTCAATTCGAAAGACTGATGGACGCGTCTATCTATTTTTCAGTGCTCAGTTTTCACCATGTCCTTCACAAAAAGTGACTCACACCATCCATCCATAGAACTACACTTTACATCATACCCTATACCAGACTTTACACCACACCTTACACAACACTTTACACCACACTTTACACCACACATTACACCACACTTCACACCACACACACACTAGTGCCAATTGAGTTGCTAGCACACGCGCACATTGACGAACCGTGGAATGCCAGACGATCGCTCTTACAAATCCACAAAAAGAGAAAAGATAAAACAGCATATTGACCATAGATCTCGTAGGACCGAACCACCCACCACTCACCACCACTAACGAGCCTCTCATTCACTTGGAACAGGCGGCAGCGGTCTGGACATCGTCATGGGCGGCGTAGGGAGCAGTGTCGGCGTGGGACTGGGCCTCAATGTCGGCATCGGGGTCACCAGCAGCAGCAGCAGCGGCAGTACCGGCGGCGGCAACAACAACTCCAGCGGCAGCAGCAACACCAGCGGAACCGACAAGAATCCGAATCCATCGGGCGGGGGAGGAGGAGGAGGTCCCTCCTCGGGGGCCACTGGCAGCGACGATCTCAACACACTGGAGGCCGAGATCTCGGAGCTGCAGCGGGAGAATGCCCGCGTGGAGTCGCAGATGATGCGGCTCAAGTCGGACATCAATGCCATGGAGTCGCAGCTGAGCACCAGCGATCGGGTATGTAGGCTCAGGTTCGTTGACGGCAACAAATTATGAGACCAAGTCCATTTCCCACTAGGCTAAGCGCACCAACTTTTCAGACGATGGTCACACTGAAAGTTTTGCACAACCCCCCCCCCTCCCAACCCACCCATTTAAAACTTTCGACTCAAACGAGACTTTGAGTGGAGTTCTTTTTACCCGTCGTAGTATTAGTATCGCTTTTGTTGTTTCCGAGTTCGGTCTGTCGTCACCTGAGCGAGTTTTGTCTTGGTACTTTTCAAGGACGTCTCTAAAACTCGGCGAAAAAACAATGAACAACAAGTGAAACAAAGTAAAGTAAAGTAAAGTTAAGTAAAGTGAAATAAACTTAGGCTAAAGTTGAATCGAAAACGAGGGCGCGAGAGCGAGAAAGTTTTATCAGCCGCCGACGCAGACGTTAAATTGCCAGGGATCCTTTTTCGGGTTTTCCCAAGCCTAAAGTCATATTTGCCTGCACAGAACAAAATATAGATTGATATGGATATAAAGTTTGAGCTGGCCAAATTAATTTTTTGTAACCTAAGGCTGAAACTAAGTTTTTTGAAATTGTTCAAAAACGGATGACAAGATGTTTAGTGGAAAGTTTCTGAATGCATTTCAATTAAAGCAGTGTTGGTGTCAATAAATTGAAAGCTCAGCAATTGCATACAGAACGTAGGGTTCAAGACCCCCACTGAGTATAGAGTTTATATTTTCAATTTCCAATTGACCCCTGGGAACACATTCGCCCTTTCTTTCTGTGTAAGGAATCCACCCGGAACGCGGTGCACTTCACTCCACCCCCTGTCGACGTCGGCCAATCGGTGACGTTGCATCCTCACTGCATCGGGCGGCGAATCAGAATCGGCGACGTCAGGGGCATGAGCAGGAGCAGGGGGTGTGGCACACCCCTAAGCACACCCCGCATCCACACCCACACCCACACACACATCGAAGTCTCCCTCGGCGTGTGTGCGCTGGTCATGCGCAGGCCTTGATGTTGCAGCCCAAAAACACAACGAGGCGCCAACAAATCGCAGGACGCCATTCGATTTGCTCCTAAAAACTGGGAAATGGGGCGCAAAAAAAAAAAGGACGAAGAAAAAAAACAAGTCCAGAACTGTGCTACAAAGGCGCCGGCAGCGACGTCGACGCAGCATTAACCTTTGTGTTTTTTGGGGGCGCCCCAAGGCCCCAAAAACTCCGAAAAAACCCACTCCCTCTAGAGCTCTCTCTCTCGCTCTTGCGCTCGCTCTCGTCCGCAGCCGTCTCTTTCTGCCGCCGGTGTTCGTGCGACTTCGTTCAGGATTCGTCTTTTTTTTGTCTTCTTACTTTCTCCCAACCCCATTTCTTATTTTTTTTATACACTTCTGTGTGTGATGGCCCGTTCTTATTGGAATTCCTATACACATATGTGTGGCACATGAGCAGGGGTTTATGTACCAGGGGAGGGGTTTCCACCGCCCAATCGAGTAAATTGAATGCCAATACTCGTGACCATCGTCTGGGCACCCTATCCACTCGGCCACTAACCTTATGTATTTTGTATTCTGTATTTTGTGCCCACCTTAGGAGGCTTCTCCACTGAGCGGCCACCAGCAGCAGCAGCAGCTCCCCCGCTCCTCGGTGGCTTTGGCCTCGCCCAGCGGTCAATCGCCATTCGCCAGTGTCAGTTCCACCAGTGGCACCACCGTCGGCGGCGGGGCAGGGGCAGGCGCCAATGGCGGCAGCAGCAACTCCGGAGGCAGCACCACCAATGCCAACGATCTGAACCACTCGATCAGCAATTTGGCACCCAGTTCCGGCAGCAATCCGAACCTCCAGCCTCTGGATGGTGGTGCCCCACCCAATGCCAATCTGAACAACTACTACGAGAGCCTGCGGAACAATGTGATCACGCTGCTGGAGCATGTGCGTCTGCCACCGCCGCCACCTCCTCCGGGCGGTTCGGCCACTCCCAGTTCCTCGGCCGCATCGGTGGTCCATCATGGGCTGGATAATGTGTGTGGTGGTCAGCTGGTGACCGGGGGATCCCTGGTGGGTGGCGACCATGCTGCCGCGTACTCCACACTCCTGCCGCCGCCACCACCACCTCCGTCGTCGGGTGGCTCGGCTCCGGGTGGTGGTGGCATGTACGGAGGATCCGGTGGTCTCCATCAGGCAGCCAACTCCAGCAACCACAGTGGTGGCCTGTCATCCGGCGGGGCAGTGGGACCGCCTCCAGTGCCGCCGCCACACCATCATCCCTACACGGTCCACCATCCCGTCGGCTATGCCCATCCGCATGCCCATCCGCATGCACATCCGCATCCGCACGAGCACTTCGACTCGTACATCTCGAAGCTGCAGTCGCTGTGCGTGCCCCCAGATGTCTATGCCCTGCCCGAGGATGCGGAACGGCCCGTCTACAACTCGGTGAAGCCCACAATGCACCAGGACTACGGCAAGCTGATGCCGACGCCCATCTAAGACCCTGAGAATCAAAAGCCCAGCACTGGTGACCCCAAACTGAAACAGAGCCACATCCCGTCCAGGGCTCAAAACAAGTGTAAATACTCAAAAAAAAGATGAGACAGCAGTGAAAAAACTGGAGCTATTCATAGGCCTGACTTTAAGGCAGACTATACAAATTAAAGAAAATAAAAACTGGGGGACAGAGTGTCGGTCGGGGTCACCCGACCTTCATGCTCAAGGCCCCATTAGTACTTAACATAATGCTAGTTATTAGGTCTAGAACACTAACCATTTAGTTGGTCGGGGCAATGCTAGTCCCAAGTCTTAGTGCTTAGAACTGTTCCACGTCCTAGATCCTAGACGCTTTCGTCGTGTGTTGATAGCAACTCTGTATAAAAACCAAGAAGGGAAAACCAAATATAAGTGTGTAATTGGATTATAAATTGCAATTTTTTTTTGTCTGTATCAAATACTAAAACTAGAAGTTATAGATATCTATATAAATATATATGAAATATTGATTTAACTGTAGGGCATTTGTTTGGTGTTAATGTCTGGTCAATTTTTTGCATACGGAACACGAGATGTTCGCAACTACTTAATAGTCCCTATCCGAAATCCACGTAGTACCCTCTAGCCCATAATATCCCCGCAGGCTAAGTTTAGTTTAGTGGCAAAGTCGAACACCAAAAGTGGAAGAACGAAGTATAATACGACATATAGACATGCAAATATAATCAGTACTAAACTTAGTGGATGTAATCGTACGATTTTTTTTTGTTTTTTTTGTGTAATTGTAATATTGAAAATGTAATAGTAATATCAAGCGAATATCTAAAACTATAATGGGTAAGTGTGTGAAAGAAAGTGAGAACTTTGGCAAAACGAGGTGGCAAAACATACATATAATCGGGAGAACAAAGCACGAGTACATTTGCAGATTATATCAGTATGTGAGTGTATATGTATGTCTGCTTATCTGTAGGATCGTAAGTTTTAATGTTACCCCTTACGAAACCGGGCAAGAGGCATTAACCAAAACCCCAAAAACAAAACCGAAGAAATAGATTAAAATTCAGTGCAATACATTCAACCAAATGATGGCAGAACGAAAAACCAAAATCGTAATAAACTAATTGTGTAAGCTTAAGTAAAAAAAGTAGTTGAACAAAAAGTAACGTTTTTTTTTTGTATCATCATACGTCTAATCTTAAACCTAACTATAACTAAATAAAAAAGAAATAACTCGTAGAACGGAGAAAAAGGAACCCCAAAAACCGCAAGGTAATTTAGACGAATTTTAAAAGAAAAACCAAATGGAAAAAGTTGAAAACAAAAAAATGAGTGGCGAAATGCGAAAGAGTATGAAAATAAATAGCAGGCTTAACAAAAATCATTGTACTAAATGAAGTAATACATTACGATGATTAAAATAATTAAACTAAACTAAATATAAATCTAAAATATATATATATAATATAATATTGTATTGTATGACAAGAAAAAATTCTGTAATTTACAACCGAAAAATATTTTATGTGATCATTGTCTTTTTTTTTAATATTACAAGAAATAAATAATTCGAATACCAAATAAAGGATATACACAATAATGGAATAATTGTTTTCATTTAACGGGCTGTTTGATTTAATTTTTCGGGTGAGAAAAGTTTAGTGTTTTGTGGATTTTTATAAGGTTTGTTTAATAAGTGATTCGTTTTTACTGAAATTGTCCTCAAACTGAGATTCCTTTGCTGGTTTTCAGAAATACGTGGTATTTTGTTTCAAGATTAAATAAATAAAAAAACAAAAAAGTTTACAGATTCTGTGAAACCAACAGATTAATCAAGAGCTTCTAAAACCCCATACGTTTCTGTTTTTTGGTCTTTATTTCAGCCAAAGGTCATTCCTCGATTACTCATCTTAATCGTTTTGCATATACTTATTTATCCGAGTACTCATTTTCTGGCCCTTGCATTAGCATAAATCAGTGGTAAATTGTTTCCTTTTTTTGGGGAGGGGAATGTGCGGACAGTGGTAATCGAATGAAAAATGCGCAGTAATTTCTTGGCAACGTTTTTAATTTCAATTAGCCACTGGACATTGACCAAAGGACCGAACCTCCTGCTGAAAGTCCGCTAAGCGACGAAGGATGCAGGATGGGCAGGCCATGCTCTCCGGTTAGCTGCCACTTGATTTATGTGGCTTCATTAGACATTCCGCACATAGTCGGTGGGCAGCAGGGAAACTGAGTAATCGGGGGCTAAGTGATTGCCAAAAACTAAAAGCGAACCCACGGCCAAACACAATTAGAAGCAAACCGAAAATCAAATTTCAAGGAGGAAAATTCTGTGTTGGGGTTTTTCTTCTTTTTTTTTTGTTGTTTGGTTTGGGTTCCCCGGGAATTTGGTAGTTTTCCGATTGACCAGCATGGAATACTTTTGGTTGCCACCTAAGGTACTCAAAGTGCGGGCCAACCATAAAAAAAAAAAACAATAAAAGGGTTCCCGGGTCCGGTTTTTGGTTTGTGTTTGCTCGTGTGAGCCGCAAAAATATTTGCATAGTTACCTTTAATGTGGTTCGCTTCAGGTCGGTTCGGAGTTCACAGTTCGCAGTCTCCATGCAAAGTTCTTCAAAAACAAACGAACAAAAGTTTTCTTTGCACAAACACACACACATGCTGGCATGTAATTTAAAATGAAAAATTCTATTCTTTTGACGCAATCACAGGCACACACACCATCGCAGTCGCAGGAGACAAGCACACACATACGTCAGCGAGCATTGATTTCATTTGCATAAATAAGGAAAAACTCGGATGGTCGGGGGAAAGTCTGGCCCCAAAGTGGGTGGAGGTGGGCGGGAGTTACAAAAAAAGGGGGGCTTCAAAAAGGACCTCTCTGTGCCGCTAATAACGTGCGGCAAACAAAACTATTGCCTACTTTTGGGCGCCAAGAGAAATCAGTCATACACTTGCACAGTGCTTCGAAGCGCCTGGAAAACTTCCTAAACAATCTTATTATTTATAATGGATACGTTACAATTTTAAATTAAAATCGAAGCTGACTGATTTTAACCACAATCACAAAGTTAAGGAATCTATAAGTCCAATTGTAGGTCACCTTTGGGCAACTCATCGGAAACTTAGAAATAACCAACATGAAAATGGGTCAAAAAATCGGTCAACGCTAAAATGAAAATTTTGAATGCAGATTTTCAGAGAATCCAACCACAAGTCTTTAGAGGTATGCCACTTTGAAATCGGATTAAATTTGGTAAAGTTATGGAATCTATAAGTCCAATTGTAGGTCAGCTTTGGGCAACTCATCGGAAACTTAGAAATAACCAACATGAAAATGGGTCAAAAAATCGGTCAACGCTAAAATGAAAATTTTGAATGCAGATTTTCAGAGAATCCAACCACAAGTCTTTAGAGGTATGCCACTTTGAAATCGGATTAAATTTGGTAAAGTTATGGAATCTATAAGTCCAATTGTAGGTCACCTTTGGGCAACTCATCGGAAACTTAGAAATAACCAACATGAAAATGGGTCAAAAAATCGGTCAACGCTAAAATGAAAATTTTGAATGCAGATTTTCAGAGAATCCAACCACAAGTCTTTAGAGGTATGCCACTTTGAAATCGGATTAAATTTGGTAAAGTTATGGACTGTGGAAGTCTGATTTTGGGTCACCTTTGAACAACTCATCGGAAACTTAGAAATAACTAACATGAAAATGGGTCAAAAAGTCGGCCAACGCTAAAATGAAAATTTTGAATGCAGATTTTCAGAGAATCCAACCACAAGTCTTTAGAGGTATGCCACTTTGAAATCGGATTAAATTTGGTAAAGTTATGGAATCTATAAGTCCAATTGTAGGTCACCTTTGGGCAACTCATCGGAAACTTAGAAATAACCAACATGAAAATGGGTCAAAAAGTCGGTCAACGCTAAAATAAAAATTTTGAATGCAGATGTTTAGAGAATTAAGCCACAATCATTTTGAGGTATGCCACTTTGAAATCGGATGTCTGTAAGAAAAGTTATGAGCTTAGAAGTGCCGTTTTTTGGCACTTCTCTGCCAAATCATTAAAAATGACAAAAAATAGAAAAAATGATCGGCGAAATTTAAATATTTTAAAATTTTAAAAATCAACTTTTTGCATGATTATATCCGTAGTATTATATTTTACCACTGTGCCGCGTACTTCCATTTCCCCACTCTACCGCCGAACACCGCTTTCCCCAACTCCCTACCCCTTCCCCTTCCCCAACCCCAACCCCTTCCACCGATGTATGCGTACGCTGAAGGCGGCGGCAGTCAAAAATCGCATAAATTAAAAAACTGCACACACTCACGCACAGACATGCGATAGATGGGAGGCGGGTAAGGGGGAGTGGGTGGTTGGAGGTAATGGCAACCCTTTGTGATCCCCCCCTCCATGCCCAGCTGTCGCTCACCACCAAGGAAGTAATAAAGTATCTCGAAAGTAACTTATTAACCATGCTGACAACGCTGCCAGCGAAGCTCCTGGAGCTCCAGACACACAGTCAGGATACCAGGACATCAGGATGTGTCTGTGTAATACACGCATACCCTGGTAAGGGGTGGGGGGAGGGGGCCACGGGTAGTCATGTTTCATGTTTGCTAATTGCAAGTCGATTTTTCATTTCGCATTTCTCTCCAGAGTGTCGTAGTGGACCTGGGACTCCGACGTCGACCTCAACCTGAAGCGAAAGCTGAATCCCCATCCGAACCTGAGGTCCAACACATGCACAGTGAGAAACGGGGTCTATGCAGATTAAAAGATCATATAAATGAATAATTTTGTAATTTGTTTGATTCGTTAATATTACTCTATATATATATTATAAATATATATATGGTATGTATGTCATTTTCTGCTATCGTTGGAATTTGTTTGATATTAAGCAATCAATGGTAGAAAACCCTTTCTGACAGATTCCAATTTAGTATACCAAAATCTAGTAACGCAGGATAGTTAGGGCCACAATGCATTTTATAATTTTCTTTAAGTGCCATAAGGGAGCTGGACAAGGAACTGATTGAGTCTGTGGAAATTGTTGAGGTTTCCGCTGACCCACTCAACGCCGAATCCGCATCATTCCGGAAGGGACTCCAGGCAAAAAGGGAAAAATATTTAATTTAAAGCAGCATAAAAACAAAGACGACTACGAAAGTGTGGGGTGAGTTGTGCCAGCAAATGGTTAATTTAATTACAAATTCTTTGCTTTCTTTTGCATTCGTATTAAATTTTCATGCCGTCCTGACATCAGCTTCCTGTGTGTGTGCGTGTGTGTGTGTGTGAGGCTACACATGTGGTGGTGGGTATACAGTAGTGTGTGTGTGTGTGAGGCACCTGCTGTCATTGCCGTCTTTGCAACATTTTGGACGCCTAAATACCCAAGAGACTTGAGAGAAAGCATTTCTCCCACCACACCACCCACACACACACACCGACCCACCCCCTATCACACACACACACATAGACATAAGCCCACACATGGACACGCTGATTGTCCTTTCAATGAAAAATAGCACTCATTAATGTTGCTCATTAGCAGGACCACGGATCCTGCTCCTTGACTTTGCCCTGCCAGTGACATTCCCTTACGTGTCCAAGGTCCTTTCCACCCCTTGCCACCCCCTTTTCGACCCCACCCCCACCCACACCCTCGACCATTCAGCAAGTGTCAACTGGCAAATGATTTGCCATTATTTACTAATAAAACTCATCGAGTTTTGGGCCCTCTGCTAATCGAATGTGTGCTCAGCACCACCCAACCACTTTGCCAAATCCCCCCTCCCCCCCAAAGAAGAGGAAGAAGATGTCCTGGAGAACTAAAAGGACTCTTAATTCGAAGCGACTCACACGTTTACGCTGGCAAATGACCGCAATCAACGCGGTCAAGAGATCAGCAGGGGGAATTAGGATACTTTGGTTATATAAGCACAAATCCTTAAAACAGGAAATGGTTTCTTCTTAGGAAATAAAAGGTTGTAACCTACGCCTAAGTTGTATATCTAAATGTTAATCAAATATTAAGAAGAATGAACAAAATGTACACAAATAAATTTTTGGAAGTATTAATTTTTAGAAAGTGAATTCGAAATAAGAATACTTTAATGTCTAGCTTTAATTTTATTCATAATAATTCCAATGCTTTATCTGTGATCATTATTATCTTATTATTATCTTAGGGTAAACAAGTCTGAGAAAATCTTGGTACTCTAATTAAGTTCCCCCTTCCAAAAGAATTGCTGACTAAAGAGCTGCTCTTGTGGTAAACAAATTGATTTCATCTCAACTCATCTCAAAATGGGCCTGTAAACAAAAGTAATCTTCCCCTTTATTTTACAGACAGAAGTGAGTGTCATATTCATAAAAATAACATCACTTCCCGGTTCAATTTGTTTGATTATATTCGGTCCAAGTAATGACGATGGTTGACCAAAAACGAAAGTGTGCGGTAATCTTTCATATCGATTCAATAGA